TAACCTTTATGCTTTCGTCCTTGCCGAAATAGTTCTATGAAATTCAAGTTATTGTGCATTTTTAACAAAAAATAAGCGAAGTAAGGTGAGGACGGCGCGGTCGCAAAATCGCTCCTGTCCCACGAGGTGCAAAATGCCAAAACATGCGATGTCGTCAACGTGTTAATATGCAAATATGTCGATGCTGTATGTTCTCATAAATACTCAAAGGCTATAATAAAGACACTTCCGGAGCCAAAAGAGTTCCTAGTGGCCAATAAAAAAGTGGAGAGACAAGCCAAAGAAAGGAGGTGAAGCACTGATGGCGCACCAAAGTGAGCGGAGTTGCCACAAAACCTTTAAGGCAAATACAAAAAGTCCCGGAGATCCAGAGAAAGATGGCGAAGAGATGTAAGTAAACTGCGCTTGATGAACGCTGCGCCAAAGAGGGTGTAGTCTTTTGCAAACTTATATAATAAATCGATAGAGAGACAGGCCAGAGGCTGGGGTAAAGGTGAACAAGAAGGTGGTTGGCGGAAGGAGGTCAACTGCTACTGGTGGTCGGAAGCTGAAGTCTAAAGGCCGCAAATATGGTCCAAAGAGAGCACTGAGATCGGGAGAAAGCGGATAGAATCTAGCTCAGAGACTATTGTTTGTGGTGAATGGAGCTAAGTTTGAGAATTTTTCCCCGTTCCATATCGTTGCAGAACAGTGTTGTGCGCGCAACGCGTGCGTCGCCAACTGTTATAACATTGCTATAAGGGTGGAATTTCAAAAGGGAAACTGTCATCTGGAGGAGAACGACAGCACTCATCAGACAACCTAATATTTCGATTAGAAATGTGCTTCTAGCGCAGATCGACTTCACCAAATCCATTTATAAATACGAACGTAGAAGACAGTATTTCATCACACTTTTTCATGAATACAATTAGCTACTTTTCGTCTTGAGTAGACGACAAAAGAACAGTACTAGATGGTATCTGGCATGAAGTTGTAGATGCACTACTAAATATAAGTTGTTTTGCGTCGTTTCAAGTTGTTGTGTCTGTGAACATGAGAGACGATCGTTTCAAGACATAAGCAAAGTGATTGCAGTCCTTCAATTTCAGTGCATATGTATGACGTCAAGACGGAAATGATGAGGGAATAATAGGCGCCTCCGTCACCTGCAGAGATGGGATCTTGTTCAGGGCAAACAGCAACATCATTCCAATTTCAGACAGTTGATATCACGCTCGTCCAAGATAGCACGAGCAAGCCACAGGTGGCCCTTGGGATCTACAGTACAGCGTTTGGAAAACTTCAGATGAGATGAATGAGATCAGATGAAGAGCACATCACAAACAAAAGCTTCGAAACCAGTTCTCCCTCATTTATGAGCACTGGGGCCTTGTACAGCCCAGTCCTTCGCAAGTGTCAAAGCCGGTACCTATTTACCTTACACTAACAATAAGTCAATTTGTGGATCAATTCAGTCGATGCAGTATCGGATACTAGTCCGGAAGCCCACCACACCCGCATTCGCCGAGATGTACCTCGTGACCGACAGCTTGCAGCAATCACACTAGTTTTTCGAGTACATCGAGCACTGAATATAATAGTAATTTTATCGGAGACAATCGAAGAACTATCAGTACTATACAAGGTATTGAAAACTTTTTCAATTTTGAAAATAAGAATGATAAAGATGTGAGCAAAAGAACAAGTATTCAGTCAATCGTCGGACTGATACTTTACAACGAACGAATATCGAGGTGCACAGGCTTGCAGCGATTCGTGTTAACGCACCAAATCCCACAAAACCATAACAAAACGTCGTCGATATGACTAATTCTCAGCAAAATATATAAACACAACAAATATTATTGAGTCCTATACCGCTCTACTATTGTGTCGAAAATAAATAATGCGAAAATACAGATACGAAAGTACGCTAGAGACTCTACAGTGCAATGACAATCGTGGCTTCATCATTCGAAAAACTACACATTATACCGTATGTAAGATAGCCGTAACAAGTATGTCTGTTGGCGAACAGCAAGCACCAAAACACTCGACGCGATCGCTAACAAAACCGATTTGTCGCTGTTTAGATACATATTGATCGTGCAACTTATGTAACCACTTTTGTGGTATTCGTCTTGAGGCTGCTTCTCACAGCTACGACTGTGACTGAGAAAAGAGTGCAGCTAAGGAATTAATGGCTAAGTGATAGAAAAATTGTTTTAACTAGGTCTAGGCTCGAATGTGAACCGAGCAGCGCACTACAAGAAAACCAAGCATGTGCATGTCGGAAATCGGAACAGTCTTGGAGCGAGTTTCGAAATCTAGAATCTAAACAATACAAGAGCAATTTGGAGTCCGAGGAAAATATTGAAACAATGTGACTGCGGCATATCGTCGACCACGGCTTACCGACCTGAGCCTAATTCGTAACCCGCGGCCTTGATTCTGCAATATCTGCCCGACACCCATACGTAGATAATAGTTCTGGTACATAAATTTCCTATTTAGTTTTGAACTAACAAAGTTGTGCGATCGCATCCTCGCACTAATTCACGGTAAGTGTTGATTTTCGGGCTGAGCTGAGAATTTTCTTAGGTCTCAGAGTCGTCCCTGGACTATTTGGTCTAAGTCAGATCGAGCAAGAGATTAACTTCCTCAAATATATCTGCATGTTCCATGCACGATATTCCACAAGTATTTCAGGTTAAGTGCGTTCGACTAAAGAAATAGCCTAAGTAGGCGAAAATTTACGGTAATACACTACCGACTTAAACGTCGCCTGAGGATAAGTGAGTATGAGATAAAAACAGGACAAATCACAAAGATGTCATCTGCTCGTCACGATCCTCGTAGTCTTCTTCAAGCATTACTAGCTCCCCGTCGGAGTAATAGGACTCTTCCGAAAGTCCCCGCAGGAGCTTATCCTCATGGTATCCTGGAATAACGTTATTCTGCCTAGCATTAGATGACACATAATTTTAGGAAACGGAGTGAGCTATGTGCAAATGCGTGTATTTGCAGTGCATGTAGTTCGCTGTTCATCCCGGAGGAGTCTCTTTACTGTGGCATTGTATAAAAATGAAACACACCGCTTTCGTCAGAGATGCTGTCAAATTCGAAGGAGTTCAGCCTTTTCTGGCATTGCTCCTCTTCCAAGAAACCACAACATGAGTCAGCCGGGTAGGCCGACGCGTCTGAAAATGCCATTCGTCCTATTCAAAAATAATTCCAAGCAAAGTCATCTGATAAAGGAAAGGATGCACTAAACTTACTACGCTGCAGAAGCGATTCAGTCCCTACCTTCCATAAATAAGGACTACCTCAAATCAAAAGACCACCTAAGACCGACCTTCAGTATTTTCCAATGACGAATCAGCTGACTGATCATTTGTGGAGCTTTCCGAAACACTTGGGGTCATTTCTGGGGCTGCATGATAACAAACGGAATCACTATCGCTTTCGTCTTCCTGGAAAGTTCAATATTGTCCTATTCAGGACAGTGCCATTCAGAAAAAGAAGAAAACGGTGGACTACCTCCTGCTCTTCGTCAATACTCCCTAAACGTGGAGCCGATTTTGAGCGGCACACAGGTGGGCGAAAATTGAGGCTACCGGAATGAAGCATCATTTTCCGCCGCGGACAACCAGTCATTCCGGTGAGACGAGCATTTTGTACAGAAAGTTTCTCGCGTCTATACTCCTATAAGCAAGCAAAATAAATGGCTTCGAGTAACGACAACTCCAGCAGAACTACTACCCAGAAGTAGCCGTTGTTTCCCTCATTTTCATTAGATCACATGCCCAATATTACCCCGCTTTAGTAGCTACGCTAAACACTCGCACGAGCTTATTGAGCCTCTCACGATCTCATTAAATGGAGACATGAGGTTGAGTGACGCCACTGGACCATAATTGTTTATGTCAAACGCTTTGTGGTAAACGGGAAATGCGTTTCATTATTATTCTGTATTTTCGGTAGCTATGCCCTGAAATCGGCAGCTATCAACAACAAAGTCAATTAAAAGCGCTTTGAAAAGTATGAATCTTTTGTGAAAAAAAAATTCATAAAATTACCTGAAGTGCGGCATGCAAGTAATCCTGCAATTTTGTGTGCATTGTCTGTGGATCTGATGAGCGCTTACACAACACGGCATGACATCTCAGTTCAGGTTTCAGTCTAAAAATTGGTTTATACCATAATGGAGCCGCTCTTCTCTAACACTTACAGGGCACCGTACACTCATCTCACCAGAACCTCATACAAAACCTCGCCATAACATTTTATATGAACATTTGGCATAGAAATCTTCGTGGTACAAATCTGGCAAAACCGTACCGTTTACCGTCATGCTTGTAGATCCAACAGAAAACTTTGGGATAATGTGGAAGAGCTGCGGAAGAGGTGATTCGATGTGCCCAGTACTCCGTCAGGCCCTGCTCTTTCGTTTCCGCTTTCAATCCGGATCTTGTTATCTGAAAACGTTGGTTACGTTGGTTATTCTACTGTACAATTCCTTAATACCATAATCCATTTTTTCATGAAACGAGACGAATACAGCCATCAAGAATAAAGATCGACAAGTAGTCTCATCATATCGCTTACTACAGGAGAGAATGAATGGTTCTCCTCTTCACAACATCCGTTATTGGATGCGATATTGAGTTATTCCTGATACAACCAAATCAGAATGGGAGCCAGAGGAGCAATTGGGCAAAATGTTCGCTTTAACAAGATTAGTACCGATCAACACCCACAAAAGACTTCAAGCTCTCGACTGTTATCGACTTTGGATCAGGCGAAGGCTCATTACATAATTGATCCAGGAGGATCAACCTCTTCTACGAGCATTATTCGTCACACGTGTCCTTTCGGTGGCCATCGAGTTCTTCAAGCATGGGCCAGCCTCCTTTCGTCCCTGTCACATGTCAGAGTACCCTTCAGTGGCCTCTAATCTCTCGGAAGACACATAGCGGCTTCTTTCAAGCGAACTTTCGTGAACAAGTCGGACTATTGTGTGCAATCAAATAGGTGCTTTTGCTTGACATACTGATTCAGCCGAAACTGGTTCAACGGTCATCACAAAATCGCTTGACCAGCCGGCGTCCTGATCTCTGATTCCTTGGGAAATGAGGCAACGTCCTTGATCTTCGGCCACTGATGGAATTCGAAGCAGGGATTTTTCTCTGCATTCGCGTGAATTGGAAAACTCCAAACATCAACCTCTCAGGAGCGCGCTGGATAACGCTTACCGCATACTCATCTACTTAGTCCAAGTCTCTGAAGCGCACATCAAGACAGAAAGGATTGCGGAGTTTGCGCCGTACCCGATGTTTTTCTTCTTCCTTTCTACTTCCTCGACCATCCTGAACGCTCCCGTGCCGCCCATTCACTTTTAGTCAGCCGTGGAGCCAGATATCTTACCCGTTCAATTTCCCGAAGATACAAGAACCTGGATCATTCCAAGATATTCGTTCCGTTCAACGTGAAGTGGGCATCAGAATCAGTCCACTCATCATGAATATCACCTTCGCGAGTGGAGTAAGCTATCCGCAGAGATAGAAAAAGAAGGCCCAAATGTGAGTGACAAAGGCACTCATCACTTTGCTGCACTGGGCTTAAAGCGTTGCTCACGACACAAAGTGTTTACGAGGTGGAGTGTCCGCGCCTCGCTTGCCCCTATGCCTCTCCCTCCCATACTCTTGCCTCTGCGTCCGTGTTCCTTGGTTGCAACATTTTTCTAGCACAAAAAAGAAAGCCATTAGTTGGTGTGGCGATTTCACAATTGTTTTCTTTGCTGACGGTAAACCTCGCTACTTTTGTTTTTCAACACAGCAGCCGCACTAGACAAAAATGGGATGCCTCCTCAAGGTTTGTAACTTTAGTGCTATGCAATGGACCCGGCTATGCTTTATAGCAGGTGCCATCACTGAAAGCGATGAGTTCCCACTTTGAAGAAGGATTCCACGATAAGAACGAAGGTTTAAAAGGGGAAACCAACTCAATGGATAGAGAGGTGGACCTCCTGAGGGTGCAGGCCGACACGCAATTCATCGAAGGATATGCCCTAGGCGATCTATTATATGTCGTCTGGCCTTCCCGCCGCGCAATTGGCGCGCTATGGGCGCGGTACGTCCACCCCCCCCCCGAAAGACAACCCCCTAACCACTACCAGAACAATACCCAAGCAAACACTACTACCACTTTGACAAGCCATCAAAAAATACGCACAACCTCCACAAAACCACACAACCAGCCATCGGGCACGTTGAGCAACCTCAACGCACGCGTCGATGGCGCGACGCAGACTGCTCGATCAGCGAGTGTGCGCGCGAAACTGCGCAACGTGGCCGTTGAAAACTGCGCAACGCAGGGTTGACTCTGGGTACGTTCCCCCTCTCGTGTCGTTTCATGTCTGAGTCTCCAGCCGTTTAACAGAGAGGGAGCGTTAGGGTTTGGGGGGGGGGGACGGGGCAGCACCGATGAGAGCCGCATCATCCTGAAATCACAAACGAGCAAGGAATAGGGCCCCCCCTATACGAATTCTAGGCCATTTTTCTCGGTTTTTTCTTCTTTCGCGCTCCACTGACCATATCTAAATCAACTACCAATGAATTGCCTTTTCACCGTAAAATCCGTCTCTAACAGGCGATTTATAGTTCGAACTTTGTCAACTCGTAACAGTGTTTGAGGGGAAGTGGTGTAGTGGCAAGTGGCACGCTTACCACGCGAGCGGTCCGGGGATCAAATCCTGGGTCGTGAGTCGCCCGGGCCAACCAAGCCTTCCATCCCTCCGGGGTCGGTTAATTGGTACCAGACTTGTCTGGGAGGATAAAAACACTGACTTGTACATCGGCTGGCCCCCGCAAGTCATTGTATAGGCCACATCGCATTCAAACGCCACTACGAATGTACAAATGGAAGTAGAATGCGTGCCGCATCCCAAAAAGGGATTGATCAACGGCAAATGCTTTATCCTTTTAACATTATTCGTGCCATGCGGATGAGCAACCTCAAATGATCTCAGTGGCAAAGCTGTTAGTGAGGGGCAAATGCTTACTTATCTTTCTCACTTTCAAAGCGGCAGTACATATATCTCAGAAATTCACATAAAAATAGGAAAGGAAATCACGCAGTAGCACCATATACCGTTTTTACTGGGTTTTTGAAGGGTGACGTTCAGAAATCGAAGTCGAGGGAACGGTAAACTGATTTCCGTCACCACCGGCTCGCGACTATATCAGGATTAAAGCTGAGGGCGAATAAATATACTATTACGTATAAGATGTGCAAGAACTTGTTGAACCTCAACAAACCTCCAGGCCCATGCTGAGATCAGCACCAGTCCGACTACAGTATGCCTTCCATATCAGAGATATTGGCTTCTCGAAGCAATTCTCACCGGCAGCGAGTACGGTAAGAACATTTCCAAGGTAGACTACGTTGTACGAGATATCGGGCGGATTGATGGTGTACCTGAAACGCTGAACAGTTGCAAGACTACTTTCAAGGAAATATTTGTGCAACTATAATTACATTATGGGTTATAATGGGTATGCAGCAAGCTACAAAACTGTTCGCAATACCTAAGCATGCGGAATCGAAACGTCCACCTTCGCAGCGCATAGTTACGGGAGCAGAGAAAAGAACCCTCTTGTGGTTGTTATGTGCGAAATTAGAAGGAGACGGAACTGACGCACACTTTTTTGCTCACTGGACTAACAAGGGGGGTCTTTCAGGGCGAACCGCGCTTATTCAAAACCAGATCGTGCATATTGTAGGGACGCATGTATGGAACACAAAACCATGTTTCATTTTCGCTGAACGGTTTAGTAGTATCAAAAAAGTTGCAATACTGTTAATGGTTCGATCCCCGTGGCGACTAAATTTTGCAATCAAGGTTGGCGGCCACTTGTTGGCTTCAAAATGGTCCTGACGATGTATGACATCTGATTTTGATATTTAGCGCGATTTGGCACCAACCGTAGGCGCCAACCCAAATGCAAAATTTAGTCGCCACGGGGGATCGAACCAGCAACAGTACCTTTCAACTTTTTGGTGCTACTGAAACCGTTTAGCGAAAACGAAACATGGTTTGTGGCCCATACATGCTTCCCTACGATACGCAAGAAGCCATTTTGAAAAAGCTCGGTTTGATTTGAGAGACCCCCTTCTGAGGGCGGTAG